ACTTTACTGAAAGAGAATTTAGCTCCACAGCTCTATGTAAATGTTGTGTTGGCAAAATGTTATTTATTGTATGGATATGCTATAAGTATTTTCACTATTACTTTTGGGGATGAAATTCGTTATCTTGACTTGTCATACATGTATAACCTGTGTTGCCTACATCAAGATCTGACCTCTTCAAAAAACATATTTGAATCAATCATTAAATTTTTTAACACCAGTTTTTGAGGACAAATCATCTAATGTTCTTCATTTCATGGTAGAAAATTTTAAGGAATAAATGTAAAAGTTACTCATTATATGAGCATAACCTGGGTTGGAACAGCTAGCTTTTGACTTTTTATGTACCGCATAAACTTCCACAACCAGGTTATATTCGCACAACTTGTGTTACTTTTAAATTCATTCCTTAAGTGACTCAAAACTAGCGAGTGCATAATTAATAAAATTTCTGTGTAAAATTTATAGGCTATTTAACATTCACTTTGGTAAACAATCTTGAATAATAACAGCAATAAGTTTAATGATTTATTAATGATCATTGCTTTGACAGTTTACAGTACATATAATTGTAACAAAAAAATCACAAACAGAATTTTTAGCAAGGATTTCTTTTGGCATTAATAGTAAGAGTGCCGAGGTTGCAAAAATGGTACATGTATATTGCTACCAATTCTTTCTGCATCGGAGGTAAGACTTGGGTCTATCTTTCGTGGCATTATAAAATTGTCAAATTTAATTCTCAGTGAGCATGGCAAGAAGACATCCTGGTTAAGAACAAATAGCTAAATTTGTGTTCCACTTTACAGTTGTAAAAAAAAATAATGTCCAATGTCCACAAAGCTTAAATGTAAGTACCGGTATAGTTAACAAAAATGTAAAATGAAGGGGAAAGAAAGTTTATATTAAATTTAACATTTGAATAGATTACTTCCATCGTTGACTATGAATGGTGGTGGCATGCTAAGGACAATGTACCTCAATGGTCCATCTTGAAAGCTGGACTTTGAATAAAGCAGTTCAAGACAGGAACCTTTGATTTCTGAGATGTTAGGTAGTGAACCCTGTGGGAACCAATTTCAACAAGATGGTGTTCAAAAGGACTGAACAGTACAGAATATACTTGTCCATTGGAGGGCACTCCTGACTTACCATCACCCAACACAACAGTTGAATTTCCTTTAAGTAATGCTGTCTAACTCAGTAATTGTAATTGATTTTATTTGCTGTAGTTCTCCAGAATATGTGTCCTCAAAATTTCTTTCAAAGGAATCTAAAAAAAAAAATTATCATTTTATGTGGATAAAATTATTTATTGATGCATGGCTTCATTACTTAAACAAAGAAATAAAAAAAAAAGCGTGTTATAAATTGAGGTTTCTGAGAAATTTTAAAATTATTATAAATACCTTCAAAATTAATCAATTTTTAGATTATCCTTTGTAAATTAGTAATGACCAGCTTAGTAAGTGATTTCAATATATGTGTCATTAGAAAAGGAGATTTGAGTTTATTTTTAACAATCAATATACAGACGTGCAGAGCTCAACATTAATGTTCTTTGTCCCAATGTCCCTGTCCAGTTCATTTTAAAATTAAACAAGCAAATTTCTAGACACACTTGTCCAATCTGACAAGTAAATTATTGTATCATACCATATCATATAGCAGGGTTCAACACTCGTCAAAATTTGGACTCACCATTTGGGCAACCTTGGTACTGATTTCAGGTTGCCCGAATGAATTTCAGGTCGCCCGAACAAAATATCAAATGAAACAAAAATGTGCAATTGTTTTAAATTTGTTAAGATAACAGAAGTTGTGCTTTTGTATTATAAAATGTAAACCAGACATTTTTGGAATGCCAAAAGCTGTCTTCCAGTATTTATCAAACAAAGAAAACAGCCAACAGATATTAATATTAAGCAGAATCAGAATGCTAAATTAAATATTACTGTAAGCTTTAAAAAATTATGTTTCATGTAATATTCCCAATAAATCAAGGGTTGGTAGGTCGGATTTTTTTTTTTTTTTTTTTTTGCTAATCTACAATCTCACCTTACATATTGACACAAAATAAAATTTCTAGTTTAAAACAATAATTTTCACTTACCATAAAGGCCTAAATAAATGGGGTCAAACATCCCTGGACTGAATTATCCAGGTGTGATGTTTACAGTGGACACCCAACATGGGTGTCTAGCAGCAGAAAACGAACATCAGAAAGTTGTGGGAGAAATGCTAGATGTTACAATTCTAAATGATTTTTACTCTTTATATTTATGGTGATTGTTGACTAGGTTTACATATTTTATATCTCAAATAAAACCCAATTTAACACTTTTGGTAAAAATTACATCAGCTGATTGATCAAACACAGACTTGGCAGAAAGAAAAATCCACGCGGCTGCTATTTGAATGGGTCGGTCAGGTTACAGGAAACAATATTTTCAAGGCCTTATAAAGTTTATTTCAAAATATTAAACAACATTATTGAATATTCCCAACTCATCCCAGGTCGTCATTTGGGAGAGCCAGACTGAAAATCAGGTCATCCAAAATCATTCCGGAATGGAAATGACGAGGTGACGAGTGTGAATGTCGAACCCTGATATAGTATCATATGGAATATTGTAATTCATTTCATAATGTGATTTTTCTTTATATTGCAATTGTTACTAGCTTGATCAAGACTATATCAAAGACAATGCTAGTGTATTTAAGATTAACATTTCTATTTCTTTTTTTATAATTATACAAACCTTTGTCAGTCCAAATTCAACATACTACACCGTTCTTGAAATAAAGTTCACAACCTGCATGTTTACTGTATATCTCCTCAGTGCATTGGGACAAGTTAATAATCAATTATTTCGGGCAAGTAACATTTAAGATTTTCCGATGAAAAAGTGGGTATTTTAGTTAATGTTGAGCCCTGACATGTACATACTGTATACAGGTATACCTTGTACAAATATTTACGAGCAGTAGTGTGCAGTACACAACAGGACGGACATTGAGACAGCTAGTTTGTTCTTGTTCATAGATGCCTCATTAATTTTCCGTTGACCAATTCGCATTAAATTACTGCAGCAGCCATTGATTGTTCCACAAGCGTTGGACGACACTGTGACAAATCATTGAATTATCGATGGGCTGTCATTCCGACTGGTTTCAAGCACTGATCACTTCCGTGTTGAAAATCACTCTCGTCCTCGTATTTATACGTTAATAAGTTCTTAATCCGCTTTGCTGTTATCTACTTTCAAAAGTTTTACCGTGTCGTCTACTTTTCCCTTCCCTTTGCACAAAATTAAAACTGCAAAATATGATCACAGTTTTGCGTACTGTATTCGGCGCCATATTGTGAAACATAATATTTAGACTCAAACCTATTTCCGGAATTCCTCAACTGAACTGAACATTTCCCAATCGTGATCCATCAACATTTTTTGTGCAATGCAGTGACATATTAAATGAAAATTGGCTAATTTGTATTGACATTCAGCAGACAATCATTGAAAATATGTCAAAAAATGAATAAATAACAATGAGTGAAAAAGAGGATTTCATCAAAGCAACCATTTTCATTTCATCTTATTTTAATTTTAAAAAATATTACCACTCTAAAAAATTTATATTTTATTAAGTAATGTGTGGGCTTTAAAGTGATGATAATCATACATCTCGTAGACCCTGCATTATTTTGCGACTTTGATCACAACTTATCCCAAATAAGCATTTTCCCCAAATTACCAAAATCTCAAAAAACTGCATCTTTCAGGGCCAGCTAACTTTTTAAAAACAAAAAACAGAATTATTTTATCAGGCATAGTAGTTACTCCAATTGTTGCTCCATCATAGTATGTTACTGTCATTTCTTTACAAATTGCAAAAAAAAAAATATTATAAATGATGAAGATGGGATGTTTTCAGTAGTCCAATATGCATTTTATGCCCTTAAAGTAGCCATTTTGGTAACCATGACAACCGGTGATTGAATATGAAGTCTGACCTCAAATATGTTCTAGACATGATGTTTGTATCCATCACACAAAATATCAGGAATATCTATGTTTGTCTATTTCCAACTTTTCTTCATATTCTTTGATGCTTACAGAGAATGACTCTTAATGTTCAAGATAGTATTTGTTCTGCAAATATGTAAAATGTTTAAGTTTAAAGTAAGGTTAAATTGGTAAAATGAATGATCGCTGTTGAACGTTATTGCAGATATAGGGATTTGTCAGTTATAGTAAAGAAAATATGATCTATAAAATAGACATTTTTGTTCTTTGTGATATATAAACCCATTACAAATGATGTAGTTTTAGTATAAAAATATTACTAACTTTGGAATTACCCCTAACCCCACCCTTTTCACCGTGAGTTATTTTTTTTTAGTTGATGCAAATTAGCATACTCCTTATTCATATTATTCATTATTATTTCAAATGCTAGAAATTGATTGCTAAATATGAGTATTTCCTAGGTAGATTGAAACATACCGCATGTGTCAGTTTGATTCCTTACCATTAGTCATAAATATACTGGGGTGTTAGGCTCTGGATGTTAAGTCACTTGTTCAGATCAAATTTTGAAACAATAGTATTCCCTCCTGCTAATTTAAACTTTCACCACTGCATGTGTGTTTGAACTAAAACTGCATATTTACCTATTGAATACTCTTTTTAGATACTTTTTTAAGACTGTCGAATTATGACATTTATTGCTCTAAAGCACATTTTGTTAAATTTCACTTGAATTAAAATTAATGTGAACGTCTGAATGAAAGAGGGTTCTTTTACTTAGATTGTTTTATGGACTTTTGAGCCTGAATAATGTTCGTTATCTTCATATATTTCATCAAACAACAAACATATTAATTAGGAAAGAAGCCTTCCCTACATAAACATAGACTACGACAAAAAAGAAAATTTGATACCCTACATGCATTAACATGACGAATCCACATAAAAGTATTCTAAGAAATGTCTTACCTTTTATTCTATGAAGATTTTTAATTATTGGCAATAATGATCTACTTTCCATTTATATACTTTAGAGATTTATGCAACATATGGGTAGATGTACGGCAGTTATGTGGCTTGTGAGCACAAAAATAGCTTTGGAACATTTGGAATAGGGTGTAATTTACATGTCAAGGGTAAATTTCATATTTTTAGAAAACAAGTATATCAAAAAGAGGATATGAGTAATTATCATTTCTATTATGAGTCCACACTAAAATACAATGTAGTTTTATTGCATCCTCTCCCATTATAATCCAATTTTTCTCCTGAAAAAAAGTGAGGTTTATACTAAATTTTATTTCACTGAAATTAGTAGTTATCCTCTTCGTCCATTTTGTATGACTTGTACACAACATTAGACATACTTTAAAAGACAATGTTTCATCATTTTTGAGTTCAATCATACATCCGAAAAATAATAAGTGTTCTTGTTGTTAAAACTTTGAGGTTGGTGGGGTGGGTTATTTGTTGTGTTGATTTAATCACATGTATAAGAAAGATTCAATTCATGCATGCAATGTTTATCACAATGTATGAACCAGGAGAATTATTCCTAAATTCCTTTTTCTAACATTTAACGTAATTGGAAATCTTTCAATTAATATTAATATAAAAAAGAGATTAAAGATCATTTTGTATTACTGACGATATCAAAGTTTCGTTTTCTTTAAAATTAGATACATGTATTTACTATAACAAATCCTATATTTTCAACAACAGCATAGCATGTGAATTGAACTCTGAAAAAGGATGTGACATGTGTAGAAATTAGGATGCCCCCTCTATTATATTTTTTGCATCTCTTTAAACATTTCCTAAGCAAACAATAAAGTTTGCTTTCTCTTTGTCTCAAAATAGTAACACAATACAATACAAAGTAAACTTTTTAGCGTGTGCTCATCGTTCACAGTGTAGTATGCACCGTTCATCTACCACTTGCCTTCTGGTCATTTTCTTGAGAGAGAATAAATGAACTTGTACTTGAACTTGTGTATAATAATGGCTACAGCGCTAGCTCTACAATCTACTTTTTTTAAAGACAAGCCTGTTATAGAAAAAAGATAACACACGAATATTTTGTCTTAATTGCATCACTTGTATACAAAGACAATTTTCATAGGGCAGCTGACCAATTGTGCATAGTATTTCTTAGGAACAAAGAAAGATGTGTTTCATGACTGTCTCTCATACACTAAATGTGTCATTATAATTGTATTCCGGATATAGAAAGAAGACCCATTTCTCTTTTCTCCATATGGACCGGACCTTCGATAATTTAAGAGCTAGATATTATATACATACATTCACAAACATATGGTCATGCATTTTTATCTGTATCTTTTCCACAAGGACGTCGGTTCTCTTGTTACTAACTGCTGGCTTAATCAACAAAAAAATAAGTTTAACAAGCGAACGTGTCTATCTACACGTTTACACTTAATGGATTGTTCTAATCTATTTCATTTCAATAAAACAAATAATATATTTATTTATGATCAATAATTTTAAGTAAATTATAGCTTCAAAAGTTTCTAAAGCATGAATGTATTACTTATATAATGAAAAAAAATCTGCTTTTAAAGAAAAAGTTGATCTTTATCAATACAATTGTATAAAGCTATCTGTGTATGTTAACTTTTTATTTGTTCAGACCATCATTTAAAATATCTTTGTTTCCCCTAACCCGACCCTAAAATCTCAAGTTGATTAGGTAGGTATGTAAATAATGTTTTTGGACAGCAACTTACATTCTGAAATGTAATGGACGTATTCCTTTATAAATAAGGAAAACGTACTAAAGAAAAAGATTTGTAAACAGAATATCATACATTAATGTCATTTAAAAGCAAAAATTTAAGGTAAATTAATTGACAACGACAACTATATTCAGTTAAACTAGTGAAATATTTCACACCATAAAAAGTAAATTTATTAAAATCGATTATTTAATAAGGGAAGATCCTCAGATACGCAATGACTGGACATCCGAGTATATTTTTCAAACCAGTGCTTATACATGCAATGTACTTTTTCAAAGGCCTCGAATTGTGCATTGGTTAGAGAACATTTCGTTTTGGAGTCCCGAAGTAAGGAGCTAATTCTAAGTCGCAGATTTAAATCCCAATTCGAGAAGTTGAGACAGGTCCTTCGAATGAGAGCGTTAAAACTTAGGTCCAGTGTCGCATTAGAAGCTGGCATGGAAAAGATCCCTCACTGCTCAATGGTCAAAAGTGTCAAGTACAAGTCTAAATGTGGAGTCCTACACCGGTCAAATGTTCAAATTTGTTCGTCCCAACAATTCTAAAAAGGACTTAAATCAAAGAAGCAACCAATCTTCAAGGGACTAATAAATTAAACTGGACGACTCAGGTTCGAAGCTGCATCATGATTTCAAAACTATTTGGAAAGAGTATGTAAATAATATTCAATTTATTTCATGAATTATTCAATTTAATTCATGATATCTAAATTAGATAAAAATGCCACACACAATGTCAGAGTCACGTTTAACACAAGAATGAAAGGCATGAAGAAAGGACGTCTGAACTATTTTCACAGGAGGAAATATGCAGGCATGTTTACAACAACTCCTATGGTCCGTACTTTAAACATAGTAACATAGATGAACTGTTTATTACAGCAAAACTCAAATTAAATAATATGCAGTGAAATTGATCGATGTGTTCAGTTCACAAGATGGGCCCCTCGTCTGCCTATGAGGCGGGTATTACTACATACCTCAATTTTAAAAGACAGGTTTTGTAAATACCACCGAAACACTCTTAATTAGTCATGGTAAATTTTATTAACAAAATGTTTTAAGAATATAGGATTCTAATGAACTAAAGGCATAAGGTTGATTTATGATACGAACTAACCTTCTGTCACAAAATAGCGTCAACAACATGCGGTCACAGAGTCTGTGACCACATGTTGTTGGCGCCATTTTATTTCCAGAAAAACGCTTGAAAATCACAATTTAGAACAAACTCTACCGTTCGGATAAAAACGGATTTTAATGACATTGTATTTTATAAAAGTAGATAAATATTTTTAAAAATATTTGAAATATCTTATTTAAAAAATACTTTTCAGTCGGCCGATTTAATTGGGTCGTTCGCGTTAGGGGAAACAAAGGTATTTTTCCCTCTTCTTAATTGGAATCGAGGCATATTTACGTAACATTTATCTCTTTATGAAAAAAAAAAATCTCGTTTGAAATGTAGCCTCGTGTATTTTTGTTTAAATACTAGATGAATCAATAGAATCACTTCGCCTAAAAATAACCCATTCTGCATAACATTTCCACGAAAGTGTCAACCCAAAGCGTTTAATTTTCAACCATTTAATGGTTTGAACATATATTATTGTATAAATAATATACAAATGGTTAGAACACAAGGTCTAACAACGTACGAGGTTCTCATCATAAATGGCTACAATTGTCAAGGTCTATATATATATATATATATATATATATATATATATATATATATATATATATATATATATATATATATATATATATATATATATATATATATATAAAATATTGATATACAAACATGTTTGTTTTTTAAATAACAATCATTGCATGACAAATATATAACTAACTAGAGTTTTAGTGTTAGACTGTAATATTTAATTGAATCTGCCAGAATCTCTTATAAATGTTTGTACAGATTGAAAAATATATTTATTTATTTCAACATTTTGTGACTCATCTCCCCACAGAAGTAGGTGACAATCAATAATATTTAATTTAGTGTTTGGTTTAGTAAGACACAGTAGGTTTCTAAATAGTTCCTCTCTAGCATGTTGATACTTATTACAAACAAAGAAGAAATGATATGGGTCTTCTGGTGTACCACATGAACAATTAGGACTCTCAATAATGTTTCTTTTATAAAGATCATAATTTAAAATACAGTTCTGTCGTAGTTTAGTATGTATTATATTAAGTCGTCCATTTAATACCTCATAATACTTTGTAAATATATTACATTTTCCGAAGTTGGAATTCAAAATTCCATATATTACTTGTTAATGTTATAAAATGCAGGTATACAAATATTGAAGCACATTAATGTAAATAAACTTAATATTACCAAATACTTCAATATTCTAGAGAATAATCTAATATGGTAAAATTTTTCGAGGAATTCATTAAAAGTATAAGGACGATTGCTATCATTTTAGATTTTAGTACTTCATTATTCAGGAAACCATTTCAAATTTGAATTTTCGTTGGTCGTTTTTACGATCATGATAACTCAGAATAAACATTGTCAAAGTACACTAGGATATGTTGTGTTGATCGAAGGGAGGATTGAAAAAGAAACCCAAGTGAAGATTCATTTAAATTCAATTAAATCAAAAATATATCCACGAAGTGAGTGGAGCAACACCTGTCTGTTTTAGTCCTCTCCCAGTTAAAGTATTTGTTTGGAACAGCACATATGCCTTTATGTTTTGAATTCATAGAAGAATGTTCTACAATATCCATGAAGTCAATTTTTACAGGCTTATTCCGAATCATGAAATGCTCTCTTTCAAGTTGTAAAAAATATGTTTAAAAATGTTCTATGAACTTACATTTCTTTTTTTTTCTTTCGAAAAAATCAACTAGTAAATAAAGTACATTTTTTGTAAAAATCAAGACTCTCATAATAGTGTAGCATCTTTCAATAGCCTTTAAAGGATTTTTAATCTTAGTCCCCGAGGGTCTCTACAGCCCAGTAACCTAGTACTTCGGTACTAGCTTGAAAATATGGATATATATTTAAATCCTTTGGTAAAATTTAGAAATTCATTTCAAAATTAAAGGATTATCTCCCTCATGCATAGCTCTGATCCTTTGACGTAGGTGTTTTTGGCATATTTTTCAGCTCTTCCAAGTTTTTTTTTATTTAAATATTTTGGATTTTCAACGTTTCGGCTTAAGCATCACTGAAGAGACGTAACTTGTGGAAATGCGCATCTGGTGCATCAAA